AAACAGGATCATGTCTTCAATTCCAGACTTACTACCCAAATACATCTGCGCTTATAGGCCAAATAAAAATATTCTAGAGCCAATTCTAGCATTAAAAATAACAATACAAAAAAGCTACAAATATAAAATCCCTGCCTTCTTCACTTTTATAGATTTTAGTAGAGCATTCGATACTGTGAATCACGAGGCCCTATGGAGGACACTCTTGGAAAGTGGGATCGAAGCCAATATTATCTACATTCTGAGAAATCATTAATCTAAACTATCTGCCTGCTTTAAAGTCAACAATAAAATATCCCCCACCTTCAGAATTAAAAAAGGTGTGAAACAAGGCTGTATTTTATCACCGTTACTGTTTAATATTATAATCAGTAAAATTATAAAAGAGGTCCTAGGATGCCCAAATCTAATAGAAATAAGCTCAAACACAACAATACGTTTAGAAAACAAAATAATATCTTATGCCGATGACATAGTCACATATCGACTAGCTTCGAAGAAACGAAAGATATGCTATATTTATTAGGAACCCTTAGCCTAAGAATGGGATTAAAAATAAATTTCAAAAAAACTTGTATTCTTTCTTCTCCAAACGCAACTCAAAATCTAAATTTCACAATCGATGGAAATGAAATCAAAATAGTTGACAAAATAAAATATCTGGCGTCATGTTTGACAACATAGGAGGTTATAAAGAAGAGCTGAAAATAAGAATACAAAAAGCAAGAGGAGCCTTTTATAAATACATGAAAATATGGAAAACAAAAGAAATATCTGTACACACCAGACTAAGAATTTTTAATTACACAGTTATTCCAATATTGCTATATGGAGGAGATCTATGGGAATTAAACAAAAAGGAGAACAGAAAATTACAATCATTCATAAATAACTGCCTCCGAATCATTAACGGAATCTTCTACCCGAGAGTAATATCCAACAATAATCTATGGAAGGTATCAAAATACACCCCAATAAACATTACCTTAAAAAAATGGCTCATTCAATTCCTCGCCCACATCATAAGGAACTCAGAACATAATCTAGTTCATGATGCAATTAAATGGCTATACACTTATAAAAAAAAGAATACACTAAATATAAATCCCTATGGTACTATAAAGCAATAAAAGATGTTATGGAACTTAACTTAAACATGAAGCAATTCATCAAACTAAATAATTGCAAAAACTCAAAAAACTTTTCCGTATTAAGAATAGATATCTGAAATAAATAATTTCTTAATATTTCTAAACCACTGTGTTGCTACTAGATCAGGACAAACTAAAACTCAATTGGTATGTACTTTATATTTTAAATGTTGTTTGAAACATTATATGCCTGAACAAAATTTTTCTAAACTTAAAATCAGCCACAACCCACCCTTAAAGTAATTAACTTACGCAGCAGTTCTTGGGCATAGGCTCTTTATCTCTGCCCCTCTTTCTCTTGGAGCCTATGGACGCCTAAGTGCGTACAAGTACGTGCGGCTTGCCCACAAACGTGTAGAGGGCTCCTCACATTTTTTTTACTTTCGTACCCAAATTAATTTCGTTTTTCCAATTAGATGGAAGTGAGGAATACCTAGCGTAGCTCTGTTGTTTACTCAACGGTTAGAAGGCATATGCGCTATATTTCACGTATCACGTAAGTTTTGTTTTGTATATCAAGAATCTTTCAATATAAAGTAACCTTTAAACATAATCATACATAACAATAATATGAACCATGGTGATATGTCCCACATGCTTTAAGAATGTTTCCTTAACAAAAGGAAATAAAATTATTTATCATGGTAAACGAGCCAACAGATGCCCTTCATCAGGTACTTTCTTTAACAACAATGAACCTGTTATGCCACCTTCTTCTTATTCTGCTCTTATTAATAGTATAATTTGGATCCAATACCTACAACTTCAAGTTCCAACAATACCTTCAACACAGAAACAATCCCTTTAACTATATCTTCATGCCCAGATAATTACATTAATTCAACCTTTATTGCTGAGGCACATGAATGGCTAGAAGAATTTATGAAAGAAAGTCCCCCCCCCCCACAATAGCTCGTATACCAATTTTCATAATTTTTTTTAGCTATTTTAACCACCTTAAATAAAAATATTAAAAGCTTAGATAATTGGATTAAATTATTATCATTTATATATTTAAATCCACATCTTCCAACATCAAAATCAAACTTAACACAAAGCATCAAAAAAACATTAAATTCAAATGATAATAGTTATTTTGATATTCCCAAACTACCTCCACATTCTTTCAATAAGCTTTTGACAGATAAAAAAAGGCCAAGCTTATTGAAAATAAAATAAACATATGCAATGTAAATTCAGCTATCAACATAGCCTGTTCATGTGATACTTTGGCCCCCATTAATGATATAACTCTCATGGCAATCTAAACATCCTCAAGATTTTTCATAATCATCCTTCCACTATCTAATAATCCCATTCCACTAACTGAGATGGAAATATTGGAAGCAATAAAACATTCAAAAAAGATTCTTCAGGAGGCATCGATGGCTTTCGAGCCATTTATCTCCAAGATATAATTAACCAACTATACCCCTATATCAAAACATACTTACACAATTCACCATATTGCTTAATCATATCTTTCATAATAATATACCTAATCTCATTCAACCCATCATTTTTGGAGCCCTCTTAATATCCTTAAATAAAACCAATAGGGACATCAGGCCTATTGCAATAGGGTCACTCTTCCGGCAAATCATTTCCAAAATAATTTGCTTCTGTATAAAATCTAACCTATCCAATCTACTACAACCAAACCAGCTTGGTTTTAATGTTCCTGGAGGATGTGAGGCTGCATCCCACTCGACACGTTTCATCCTCCATAATACACATGATCAATGCATTTTCAAAATCGACCTACACAATGCCTTCAACTCACTTAGAAGGGAACATTTTATACCTTTCTTTTGTGAAACTTTCCCAGATTATACAACATATATCGCTGCATGTTACAACCTACCTTTTTAAAATTTAATGATTCTATTATTCTCTCTAAACAGGGCATCCAACAAGGAGACCCTTTAGGTCCGGCATTATTCTGCCAAGGCATCCAATTGATTATAAAAGAGATCTCTTCCAATTGTGATCTTAAATTAAATGTATGGTACCTGGACGATGGCACACTAGCAGGCCCTTATAACGAAATCATAAAAATTCCATCAATTATAAATCACTCAGCTCCTATTACAGGACTTTCACTAAACCCTCATAAGTGTGAATTTTATTCCCCCTCTGAATCGGACTGCACACCCGAAAATTTTATTTTAGTGGACAAAGCCATCTTTACCCATTTATATTCACCCATAGGAGGGGAAAATGCTATATTTCATTTTAGAGATGAATTCCTTGCTAAATTTAATAGAATGTAAAATATTTTAAAATATTTATCTGTTCATCAGGTTTATATTTACTGAGAAATTTTCTATTTATTCCAAAATTTCTCCATGACTTTCGTTCATCTACAATTTTCACATCCCCTGAGGTATTATTGGACCTCAAAGTCCACTTAAAAAATACTCTCGAATCCATATTAAATATCAAATTTTCATCATCCTCCTGGATGCAGGCCGCTCTTCCACCAAAGCTAGGCGGTATAGGCATACAATCCCCCATATCCCTAAGCATTTCAGCTTTTCTAACCTCAGTGGCTAAATTTCGACACACACTGAGAGACTTGAATATCGACCCACTTCGAACGGCAGCACTAGAGCTCTGGAGCAAAAATGCTCCAAATCGCTCATATCCAGATTCACTAAAGCAAAGAGACTGGAACTTTCCATTGATACAGCATTGCGTTGATTACTTACACTTCAAAGTTGTTTAAAGAAAATCTCCATCGCTCTTTCTCCACCAAAACCCTAACCCAAGTATACATAATGCTAATAATATGACCCCTCTACCAGATCCAATAATTCCAACATCACCCATATGCCATCTAAAATATGAATGGTTAGAAACTGTACCTAGTTCTAATCTAGGCTTGTTATTAACCAACGAGAACTCAGAATAGCCATAGGTCTTCGCTTAGGATGTGAAATCGTAGCACCTACATCACGCGTCCTATGTGAAACCCACATCGATAGTCTTGGACACCACCCCCTTAACTGTCGTTTCTTAAAAGGTAGATTACCCAGACACCATGCAATCAATTCAATCATCAACAGAACCTTGAGATCCTCAAAAATTCCCTCCACCCTGGAACCAACGGTCTCAGCCTCGACAATCAAACCAGATGGTATGACGCTTGTCCCTTGGAACCAAGGTCTACCTCTCGCCTGGGATTATACTTGCGTGGATCGTTTTGCCAGATCTTTTTCTTCCAACTCTATCACGAAAGCCGAAAACACAAAAACAAACAAATATAGCAACCTTAATAATGTTTTGTTTGTTCCAGTAGTCTCAGATACCTGTGGATCATTTGGACCCCAAGCCCTAAAATTATTCAAAACAATAGGTCAAAGGTTACGCTTAATCACAGATGACCCAAAAGAAGGCTTCTACCTTCGACAGAGAATATCAACTGAAATCTGCCGGTCTAATTGCATATCCATACATGGGTCTATAAGCCCCGTTGATCATACCTAATTAAATGTTTAATTATTATTTTATTTAATATAGTTTTTATATAAATTTAATTTTACAAATAGTTTGCATGTTATTTTAAATATATATAATTTTTAAAAAATAAAAGAAATGAGATTATTAACGATTAAAAAAAATATATATAAAATAATCCATTTTCAACCCAAACATTATTAAAATTAATAAAGTTAGAGAAATATTAGATTTAAAATAAGAACCTTTATCTCCAAAAAAGCAGATTTAACTCTCGATTCTGAGTTAGGAAACAAAGAAAAAATATTTAAAAAGCTGTCATCTATAAAATAAATTTATGAATTCTTTATCAAACTTATATTATAATTCAAAATTAATGTATGTGCTTACAACTGTCCAAGTCCCAAGCTGTAATTATTTTTCCTCCTGTGATCTACTATTGCTTGAAAGGAAGGCCGAAATGGGCAAGTTCCTTCTTGCCTGAATACTTTTTCGACGTCGTTGGGGTCAAATAAAAGCAGACAATCTACCGAAAATAATCCGTTCTTTTCTTTGACTAATGGCCCGTACTTATTGTACTTTTCGATATTGGCAATGTGCAATCTGTTTTCATCCCATGGGCCTTAAGAAAAGATTCAAAATATTTTTTAAATCGTCGTTTTAACCCGTTAATTACCTAAATATGGTAAATTCCGAATTTCCCTCAAAAATACATTAATTATATATCAAAAATTCGAAAGAGAAATTTCTATGATTTTTTAATGTTCGAAAAATTAAACATTGGGAAATATAAGATATCATTTTTTGTAAAATAACCTTATTTTCTAACACTATTTTTTGGCAAAATGCATTGATAATAGCTGACTAAGTTACAGGTTTGCTGTCAATCCAATGACCCAAATTTTATTAGTGAAAATTAAAGATCTATTCAAGGCAGGGTTGGCAAATCGGTCAATTTGACCGGTCAACAATAGGAGTGTTTGACCTGGTCATATACTGTCAAATACTCTAAAAAAATCTGGAAAAAAAATTAAAAATATGTTTGAAAAAATAAAAATCGATATAAATACATGGGATCACAATGCTACTTATTTATTGAGTCCACGATATCAAAGGGAGTATTTTACTGTTGAGGATTTAATGATGTATGTGATATAATAAAAGAATTTGGCATTTTACAAGGTGGTGATTATCAAAATATTTCACATAAATTTCAGAAGTAAAAAAGGCATTTTTAATAACAAATAATATGGAATAACTTCCACAAGAAACAATCAAATTCCCACCTCAAGCTAGTGGAATAAAGATAGCCCACCATGCACGCTAAGATAAGTGGAATTTTACCAACAATTCCTAATATTTCTTCTTCTGAAAGAAATTAGTCGATTTGGGTTATATTCTTAATAAAATAGAAATCGACTAAAGATCTCGACAATAGGAAAATTGATTAAAAATATTAAATAAAATGATAATTTGAATATGATTACGCCACAGAGAGCGAAAGTTATTGAATGATAATGAATTTAAAAAAATACTCTTAAAGTTAATATTGTCTTAAAAAATATTTATTTAATTTTTCACATTACCCTGATTCAAGGGCTTTTTTTAATTCCAATTGTAGATATATTTAATATTAATAGATGAATTTTGATACAACTTTTTTACTTTTTTTTATTATATTAAATAAATTTTAATTTAATCTTATTTTATATTAAATTTATAAATATATTTTCTAGAGATAATTTTTACTTTGGACATAAATATGGTATTAATAATAATCTTATATATTACAGGGTTTCCCATCCAAAAAAGGAAAAGTCCCAATCAAAAAAGGAAAAGGTTCAATCAAAAAAGAAAAAGTGTCAAACAAAAAAGGAAAAAGTTCAATCAAAAAAGGAAAAGGTCCAATCAAAAAAGGAAAAATATCAATCAAAAAAGGAAAAGTCCCAAAGGTTAAGGTAAAAGTCCAATCAAAAAAGGAAAAGTGTCAAACAAAAAAGGAAAAGGTCCAATCAAAAAAGGAAAAATGTCAATCGAAAAAGGAAAATTCCCAAAAGAAAAGGAAAAGGGTCAATCAAAAAAGGAAAATTCCCATTCAAAAAAGGAAAATCGTAATTTTTTTTAAAAAAATATATAAACTTTTCAATTTCTCTTAAATTTATTTATTTTTGTCATTCCTTCTTATTTTATTTCTAACTTTTTGCGATTTCTTTATTTTATTTGTATCTTTTCTCACTATATCTTTTCTCAATTTTTTTTCTTCTCATTTTTGTGGTTTGACTGAAAGTCTTCATTCTTGGTCTGGATGGGTATGACTTGGTCTGAGGGTTGGGGGGGGGCAAAAAATCCCAAAATGTAGAAAGGGAGAAATTATTAATGATTAATATAAATTTTTGTTTCGTACTATATTAAATATATATCGTAATTGTAATTAAATAATTTCATATGTAAAAAAATTATAATAAAAAAGTTGTCTGCCAAAAATTTAGTGAAAATTAAATATACTTAAAAGAATTATCAAAAATGAGAAGAAAAAAATTGAGAAAAAATATAGTGAGAAAAGATATAAATAAAATAAAGAAATCGCAAAAAGTTAGAAATAAAATAAGAAGGAATGACAAAAATAAATAAATTTAAGAAAAATTGAAAAGTTTATATATTTTTTTAAAAAAATTACTATTTTCCTTTTTTGAATGGGAATTTTCCTTTTTTGAATGGGAATTTTCCTTTTTTGATTTTCCCTTTTCCTTTTCTTTTGGGAATTTTCCTTTTTTCGATTGACACTTTTCCTTTTTTGATTGAACTTTTCCTTTTTGTTTGACACTTTTCCATTTTTGATTGGACTTTTTCCTTAACCTTTAGGACTTTTCCTTTTTTGATTGACAATTTTCCTTTTTTGATCGGACCTTTTCCTTTTTTGATTGAACTTTTACCTTAACCTTTGGGACTTTTCCTTTTTTGATTGAACCTTTTCCTTTTTTGATTGGGACTTTTCCTTTTTTTGGATGGGAAACCCTGTAAAAGCTAATTTTTATATGGTTTGACTGAAAGTCTTCATTCTTGGTCTTGATGGATATGACTTGGTCTGGAGGGTGGAAGTGGAAGGCCACCCTCTATTAACCCCCTTCCCCAAACCAAGTCATACCCACCCAGACCAAGAATGAAGACTTTCAGTTAAACGATATTAAAATTAGCTTTTATTTGTTACTATATCAAAAAAAATTATTTTTACACCCCCCCCCCCCCAGACCAAGTCATACCCATCCAGACCAAGAATGAAGACTTTCAGTCAAACCATATTAAAATTAGCGTTTATTTGATACCCATATCGATATTTTGTGTTGATAAAAATATTCCTGACCTCCCAGACCTAGACTCGCCCATTAAGAGTAAAAGATTGAACTCCAGTTAAATAGATCTTTTGATTAGCTATCGATCGATACCCTATATTAGACATATCTTATTTCATAAGGCCAAAAAAACATCATTGAAAATTAATGAATAACGATAAAATTAAAAAACGAAACGCGCTGAAAACTCTTTTAAAAATAAGATTCTTCTATATCATGGTTCAAACGTGATAATGCCGTTTAGTTCTTTATCCTTTAAAAAATTGAAATTTTAAAGGGATCCCTTTAAATCCCGTGTAGATCGTTGATAGTTATGATCCCTTCAAAAATTAAGACATATGTATGATGAAAAAAAACGTAAAGTATTGTTAAAAAAATGGACCTAAATTTATAAATTATTTTTAAAAATACAAAAGAATTATCAAAAACGAGAAGAAAAAAATATAGTAAGAAAAATAAATTGCGAAAAGATACAAATAAAGTAAAGAAATCGCAAAAAGTTAGAAATAAAATAAGAAGGAGAATTTTCCTTTTTTGATTGACACTTTTCTTTCCTTTTGGGAATTTTCCTTTTCGATTGACACTTTTCCTTTTTTTGATTGAACCTTTTCCTTTTTTGTTTGACACTTTTCCTTTTTTTATCGGACATTTTCCTTTCTTTTTGGGAATTTTCCTTTTTTGATTGACACTTTTCCTTTTTTGTTTGAACCTTTTCCCTATTTGATTGAACCTTTACATTTTATGATTGACTCTTTTCCTTTTTTGATCGGACCTTTCCTTTTATGATTGAATCTTTTCCTTTTTTGATTGGGACTTTTCCTTTTTTGAATGGGAAACCCTGTATATTCTGTGAATAAAATTTATATAAATATTTAAATTTCCAATATCAAAATTTGATATCAAATCGTTCATTGTGTGTCAAAATTAAATCCAAGTGGAATGAAAACATCTATTTATAATGATCCTCAATTGATTCCACTTTAAAATTGAACGATTTTTATAGGTAAAGTCGAGGCTTGTGAATCTCAAAACCATATAATTTCGCTATCACCTCAACAATCACATAAATCTCGAAATATTCCTGTTCGATATCATCTATTGGTCTTCTAAGTTGTAATATAATAATATTAGTGATTCTCATGACTTCAATCAAATCCATTTTTTTAAAAAATATTGAATAAAATTGTTGTTTAATAAATAATTTATTAATACATTCCAATGAAAGAAATTGACAATTTATCATCTTTAGATGAAATATGTGTTTCAGGTAATTCTAATATTTCTCCAAGGGCCTACAAAATTTTCTATACTAGATCCAAAAAATGTTGTAACAGTTTGATGTTTAAGGCTCAGGCTTTTTGCAGTTTCTTTTTTCCTATAGCACAAGAAGTCTCCGAATTAATTATATTCAGCAAATTCTGTCTATTTGGATAACTGGACATTTAATACACTCTAGAAATTTTCTAATCATAGTTATTAGTAGAGATAAATTAAATAGAATTTTTATTGGTTAATAAAATTTTCTTATATCCATCAGTGTTAAAGGTTAAAAAAAGTATGAAAATAAACTTTAAATGTTTGTGAGATAAAATATTAATATACAAGAAATAAATATTTAAATTAATTTTAACTTTATGCTTATTTAGAATATATTCAATTTTAAATAGAATACTTTGCAATTAACAATTCACGAAACCTTTATAATTTTTCAAAAATTTTGTTACGGGGGGGGGGATATTCCCCTCTCCCGCTGGCGCGCCTGCCTTAACCAATCCATTTTATTTTATCACATTTTCCAAATATGCCACAAGCCTATATAATTATTTTCTTTATGCTACCGCTACTAAATTATAAAAATATGAAAACTACAGCCAGAGAACTAAGTCTCATATTTTAAATAAGATAAAAGTTGATATTTATAAAGATTATTATAAGTAAAAACAATGTATATTTTCTAAATTTAATTTTTCTATTATAATTGCTTTAGTGCTTTTATATGCTTGGTTCTATCTTGAATCTTGATATCCATCTTAGAAATTATTTTGCTAATAAAATTTTTATTTATACTATCTACCAAACGGATCAAAATAGTAAACCAAAATGTATATAGTTAGCATTAAGCATTTTATCTTTTAACAATTTGAAAAGTTTCCCAATCCTTATGCTTACGACTGCGTCTTAATTTGAGACTCAGATTCATATTAAAATAAAAAATAACACGATCCAAAATGTCATGGGAATATATATTACTTCTATATTTATTAAATAAACA